GACCAAGCAGGAGTGTACAAGTGGGTGGCAAATGGAAATTGAAACAAGGTGGATTTTAGCAAAGCTAATCAAGAGTCTGATTTGTTTCAAAAGCAGTAGAGAGAGATGGATATTCAATGCTAAACAGGGACAGGGTCCAGAACATGCTGGGCCACCCACATCAAAAGCCTTTTTTATTTGGAGGAGTGTGTCCTTCCAGTAGGAATTTTCCTACTTTGATCCAAGATTTTCTAGATGCAAAGGGATCAGCATTTCTCCATATTTAACCAGCCATAATCACAGCATCAGGTGCAGTGACTCCAGGTATGGAGGAAGTACCTGGCTACACTGTAGTGAGATCAGAAAGCAACTGTCTGAAAATTAAATCAGAGGCTGAACAGACATCTATAACATGTCAGTGAATCAATCTGCCTTACCCAGAACAGCAGCTACTGTGACCCTTTCTCTCCCAAACTTGGAAGTTATTGTGGAGAATTGGCAGGAGAAAACCAGGTCTCTGGCTCCACTGTAGGAGGCAGTAGGTAAAGATCCAGTCTTCCTCTGGACCAGCAGACATCTGGTGCTGTCTCTGGTGGCAAACCAATCTATTGGGGGAAACCTTTATGGTGGACTATCAGTCTTATGTGCAAAGACCCTGCAACTTGCCAGCTCAGGAAATCCACCAATTATTGGTGACTTGCAGAAGCTGAAGAGTAATCCAGGTCCCCCTGCTCAGAGTAAAGGTCCCCCCTTTATTGCCAGAGCCCCTTGAAAGGCTCCAGTATACTTTCATTTACAAGAAATCATGGGGTCCAGGTATCAAAGAGCTTGTGCAATGGCTCTCATACAGCAGTTTGATATTCAGGGTTTTCACTGTACAAATCTTGGGAGCCCTGGAATGCTTTGGAGTGACTGACCATCACACCATAGGTCCAAAGTCATGGTCTCATCAGATGTGAACTTCTTTGGTGGAGCCTGGGCCTATGTTCATTCCCTCATTAGTCATTTCTTCGGCAGCGTGAAGGGTATGGGCTCTCATCCCCACCCCTTCTCATCAGTACTACCCCAAACTACTCCTCATCCTTCTCACCTGCCTGATTTGCTGGTAACCAGTGTATTTGGAGGCAGGCTGCTCTTGGACTCGGATAGTCCTTTCTGAGGTGCTTTCAGTTACTGGGGGCTCCTTGCCATTCCCGTTAGCCACACCCATGCCTTACCTCTTCTTTCTCTACATAAGAACCCTCAAGGCAGGTCCACTGATTCAGGCCCCAGCCCTGCAGAGGAGAGTGCCTGCCACATACCCACTCATGGCTTCTTCAGCCCCTATGGCTATTCCCAGTCTTCTGGCCTTAAAGTTTAACAACATAGAAGAAAATAAGAACACCAAAGGTTAACCTTCCAGTTATAAGGCAACTACAAGCCCCTTGGCAGTCATAACAATTGCCACTCACACAAGGAGCTGCCTTGATTCCTTCCAGTCCCCAGGGTACCTTCTTTTCACTGTTACTCAGCTCTGTCCTCCATTACTTCCCCCACTGTCTGCAGGCCTGAACTGCCAGCCCTTGCTCAGTGGCTGGGTTTATAAGCAGCCAAGCCCTGTCCCTTCTGGTCACCTGACTGCTGCCCTCAGGTGCAGGGCCCTTGTGTTGATGATCCCTAGAAAGGCTAGTACAGCCAGGGAGGCATAGTATGGAGCTGAGCTGATTGGTTCAATGCCACTTGCATCTCTTGTGCAGCAGTGCCATTAGAGGAACCTCTGCTACCGACTCTAGGGTTGCTCCCAAGAGGGGAGCCATTGTTATCCAGTGTTGATGACAAGGGATAGGTAGGATTCCTTGGATTCAGAAGCTTTAGCATAATGTCTCAGTTTGGGGACTTGATGCCATGTTTCTAGGATGCCCCCCAGAAAAGATTTCAACCATTTATTTTATGAGGGCAGTTGGACCAGTTGCACAGAATATACAAGTTAGTAGATACTCTTTTGAATGGGCTGGAGTCTATCTGTTTCAAGCAGAGCACTTTGGACAGGCACCTGCTAGATGTACTGTGAAGGACTGCCCTACGTCATCTGTGATGGGCTCACTGAGGAAGCAATAGAGAGACAATATAAGCTATGACTTGGTACAAAAAGAAGGATCAATCAGCCCTATGTCTCATCTGCATTGTGTATAAGCTTGAAGCACAGAAATTATTGTGGAGAGACTTAAGAGACTGGAGGCCTTTCACACAATTACCATCATCAGGTGCCTGGTAGAACATGGTATGACTTTGTACATATTACAGAAGTCAAGCAAACCACAGGGTTTGAGAATGCGAGCTTTGATCAGACATCAACAGCTGTCTGGACACTTGGATGAATCTATCCCTGCACACAGCCCTGAAGTTTGCCATCGCCATCTGATCAGACAGATATCCCTCCCTGACTGGGTTGAGACCACTTTGTCACATACACCCATCTTGAATTCATCACATTGCTGACCAGTTTCCTAGCTTGGTTTCCAGGCCCCATAAATATTACATGGAGTAAGACCACCATAGGTGGAAGTCATTGTGGATACAAGCAACAGACCCTTACTGCCCAAGTGAATGGAAAAAGAATGAGGGCATACTGTAATCGTGTAATTAGTGCAAATGTTGGGTATGGGGCCTTCCCTAGGTAGTTGGCACTTTTTCTATGACCATGAACAAGGGAATGAGACCATAGCAGGTCAGGCAGGGTTTAGAATGTCCCACAGGGGCTTGTGTGTGGAAGCAGCCCACTTCACTGTAGATGCATCTCATTTTCCTTCCATACCCACGTTAAGAGAAGGGGAAGAGGGAGCAAAGGGATTTCATTACACTCCAGGACCAAACTACAAACTTGAAGTCTTAAGAAAAGTAGTCAGCCATGGTCAGACACCACCTTAGTGCTATGGGTGGTAAGAAGGAACTGAGGGAAACTTGTACCTGCTCTATCATTTATGGCCTCTAACGAGGGCACGAGACAGCACAGAACGCAACTAAGATCTGGCATGGTTGATGTGTGCCTGCGTGTCCTTATATGGGATGTTCATGGAGTGGGCTCAAAAAAAATCCCAGCTATTACAGGGATCACTCCCCCACCCCCACTGGGCACCTGTGCGCAGCTGTCACATGGCATGGGTGCAACATGGCTTGGCAGGGTGCTGCACGCTGTCTGGGAGCTGGGGTGGCTCCAGCAGTCAGAGCCCAGCACTGCTCTGCCTCAGCTCTCAGACATCACATGGCACTGTCAAGCCACACTGCTCCAGTGCCATGGAGCAGCTGCCATGCAGGTGCCAGGCTGGGGGGGGGGGGGGGAAAGGAGAGAAAGCAATCCCTACTGCCCCACACTATGCAGGGGGCTCTGCCACAAGCCCTCAGGGGCCCTGATCCCCACTGCTGCAGCCAGCGAGTGCAGGGGCTTTTAAAAAAGTGCCCAGAGGCTGGGGCCGGGCGCAAGATGGGGCCAGGTAGGGCAGGGCAGCCATGGAGGCTTCTCCCACAGCTCCCCTGGCCCAGGGAGAGGCAGGCACAGCCGGAGGAGCTGTGGGAGAACCTGCAGCCGCTTGGCTGTGCCTGCCTCTCCCTGGCCAATCTGAACCAGCATCAAATCTCCAATTCTGATTTGGTCGAATCAAATGGGGACAGTAATTCGAATCATCAAATCAAGTCACTGTCCTCTGAATCGGCCGAACCCAAATCGAATACTTCTCTATTTGCACATGCCTAATGGACATGCAGGTTTGTAAGACAAAGTGTAGGTCTCTCAGAATAGCGAGCTGGATGCTTGACTGAAGGAACATATGGGTCAAAAAGTGGCAAGCCAAGTGAACATGAATGCTTAAAGCAATGCAAAAACTAATAGGACAAAAATGACCAGAGGTTTAAATAGCAGCTTATCATGGAGTAAGTAGTATCACTTCCTTCCCTATGCCATAAAGTGAGGCCATTGCTCGAATGCCATTTCTACGTTTCATGTCCATGCTTCAGAAATGATGTAGTGAAACAAACTGATGCTATTGTGTCAGGCTAGCAAGTAACCTTTACTAAAAGAGAAAAGATGGCAACCTTCCATTTTTATTCTTTTCAGTCTTTTCCACACCCCTGCTTCTTCCTTCTACTGCCTATCTGTTAAGTTCCTCAAATCTTATGAAAACCATATGCTCTTTTCCTACATCGGGTGTAGGTGAGAAACCAGAGATTGCCTCACTGGCTACTGTGAGCAAAGAAAGTATTTATCGAGTAAAAAGCATTGCGAAAATTAAGAGCTAAGCTAATTCCAAAAGTAAAATACTAGTAGATTTAAGCCTTCTGCAAATGCTTTTAAATGAAGGATTTTCTCTCTTTCCTTTTACCAAAATATTGAATCAAGAATTTGACTGCAGTTAAAACAACTTAGCTCACTACCTTTCATAAGCAAAATTGTTGCAGGAATCACAGACACTTGGTCTACATGTCAGAGAGACCTTGGTCCTCCTTCCCAGGGAGCCTAACCATGTTTCAAACCTTTAGGGGTGGGGTGGGTGTATTCATACCCTGGGGGTAGGGAAGGTGGTAGAACCTTATTAGTTCATGTTTAGGATTGAGAAACTGAAAAGATGACAAAATCCAGTAGGGAAATACAAAATCACCAGAGCAAGGTGACATTAGAGGGATGGGAGTGAGGAGAGGAACTCAACTAGGTTACAGAAAATAGCCCAACACTGCCACTGTAATAGTCAGTTACAAAAAAGCCTCTCCCAAACTACATTTCTATTCAAGTGTATTCATCATCCTTGCTACTGGTTGGTTATGTATCAGGGCTTGATTAATTAGATATTGAAATCAGCATCTCCTGGTACATATGAAAAACAAATTTTATATAGGCAACAGCAATATGGATTACAGTGTAAACCTGATGTTTTATCCACCAGCTTCATGTTATGTATATTGACAGGCTGTAGACAGTCTTCTTTCAAATACTCAGTTACTATACTAAAGAGAGATGGATGAGGACGAAATAAAATGGCTAAAGCACAAGATGAGGTTGTAAAGGAAGTAAAAATCAAAATGTTTATTTTTACCATTTGAAAGCATTTTACACAGGTTTTGATCTTCAGAATACCCTGGAATCAGTAGAAAAAACTTTAAATGAACAGGTTGGTTTTTTTTCCTTTTTACAATAGAAACGTTTTAGCAGTCAAAATTGAGACTAAAAAAATACATGCAAAACATACTCCTCTCAAAACACAACTCTGAACAAAGCACCAAACTACACAACAGATATGCAGAATGAAACAGCGTTTTAACATCACCAAAAAGTAGTCTTCATAAAAGGTGTCAAAGTCACCTATTCACTAGGCACTGTTCACTTTTGAAACAGAAGAGACAATAAAAATATTGTCCACAAGTTTGCGATTTCAACTCAAGGGCTGTAACCAGAAATTCTTTGAAATTCCATGTTTTAATAGCGACCTGTAAAAAAAAGTTACACATCTATTAGACTTCTAAGGAGCAACGGTCTTTAGCCAGCATTTTTAAAGTGTACCTCATCTGCATCTGTGGAGTTGCCCTGCTCAAAAAGATACTCAATTTGAAGAGCTACAGATTGGGCTGCACACGTGAACTCAGTGGACACCTCCCATAGGATTTGGGTTGGAGGTAGTCAGAAACAGGAGGAGCAATGACATGAGTTACTACCTTACAAGCCAGTTGAAAAATATAGATCTACAGGCTTACCTGGGGTGCCATGGCAACACCGGACAGGTAAGATTGCCCCATGCTCTCCCACTGAAATTAGGGCTCCCTGATCAGCCTAACGCAGACAGCAAACTGCTTCCTGCTGGGCAGCACTTCTTGGTCCAATACCCCTTACATTTTGCCTGGAACCAGAAGCAGCTGAGACAATGGACCAGGAAGGGTTATGCAGCATGAGGTAGCTCCCACCTCCTTTAGGGTGATGAGAGAGCCCTAATACAGAAGCAGCACATGAACAGCCCTCCTCTGGCAAGCTGTGCAGCAGGCTGTTTCACCTGGAGGCAGAGACCTGGCTGAGGAGCACAGAGGCAAACTGAAGCTGCACCAACAAAGGTTCTTACTTAGGAAAGGAGGGGTTGCCACCACATTCAAGAGAAGTGGAGGTGGGGTGCTTTGACCATGAAACAGTTTGAACCACTGCAGTAGATAAAGGGGGAGGTGGGAGGCAGTGCATGTGAATGGTACAACCCATTTCTCAAAATCCAATTATTTTAAAATTAAAAGAAGGCACTGATGAAGTGATTTAATCATGTGTACCAACTCATGTGGGAACAGCAAGCTCTCAGTCACTTGCACTTCACTCGGGGCACCTTGCCTGGAATAGCAGCCTTGAAATGGACAGGGCTTACTCAAAAAGCAGACAAGGAAGGCAGAGATGGTTCTAAAGGATTGAAGTGCCAACCTTACATGTTAGTCAATTTTGACTGCCAAATAAGCCAATTACGTACAGTTATATTTCAACTGGCATTCTGTACAGGAGATAAATGTATGGCTGCTATATAAAAAGCAAAAACAGATATTCGGAGAGCCCTTTTCTAAAGTGTGCAAGATCTCAAAGTTAAGATGTTGTACGCAGTAGGCAAAGATCATCATGTTGGGAACCTCAGCTACCTTTTAAGTGCCTGTTGGGACTAAAAGATCACTCCTGACATGTACAGAGGCATAACCAAAGCTGTAAAAGTGACAAGACAGCACATGGCAACTGGGCTGCCCACAACTCTTTAAACAGTATATTAAAAAACCTGAAGGGATGCTTTCGTAAAGTTCCGAAGAATAAAATTAGCATTTGTCTCATCTTTAAATGGTGGAGAAGCCAGTATTCATTTTTCCAATCGAATATGCATTACACATTCAATATGCATTTGCCCATTCAAATAATTGTTTAAGTTCATTGAAGTCCAATCAAACCACAAAAAAAACAAGGCCAAAAAGGGACCTCAGAAGGTCATCTAGTCCAAGGCTGGGCACTGGTGGTACGGACAGCCTTTGCATATAGCACTTGGCAGACTGGGGAGGGACAGGCAACATGATAGCAAGGTAGGCAAGGGAGAAGAAAACAAAGCAGTTCAACTAGGGAGCACAGGGCAGAGCACCAGAAAGCAGAGCAGTTGATCAGCCAGGGGAAGGGGATCAGAGTGGCACACCTGCCAAAAAGGTCATTCTCCACTGTTCCTGTCCAATCCTGCTCAAGGCAGGATCATCTCTATCCAAAGCATTCTACACAAGCACTTAACAGCATAGCTGCTTTTGAACTGCCAGTTCTAAAACAAGACCACTTACGAGGCGAATAGGATCGAGATCGGGAACGAGATCTGTAACCTCCTCGGCTGTAATATGGTGATGGTGATCGCCTCCTGTGGAAAGAGTCAATTCCAGTTTCAGAAGGTTATTAATATTTATGTTAATTGATGTGATAGGGAAAAATACTGCATTCTCTAATTTTCCTTTGGCACACTTAGGCACCGGTGATTACTGGATGTAACCAGTTCCTGACATCAATTATTAACTTTGCCACACCCACAGTCCACTCAGCTATTTAACGTTCGTAACTTATTCACTGAAAATACACACTACTTCAGTTATAGAACTATCCATACAGTGTACTAATAGATAGTGTGTAGTTAGTTAGCCCTAGTACTAGATGGCATCTATGAAATCAGTAGCACACGGAAAAAACAAACTTGTTATACTCACTCTTTCTAATGAAAATGCTATTTTTGCATTCTATAACCCTTTTATGAATAAACCAGTTACAGAGACGTTATTTTTTAAAATAATTTAGTTTAAATAAATTTCCTGCTATATGACTCATTACAGACAAGATTAACACCCACCTCAAGCAGCATTCCATAACATGAAAACTTCTTAAAGTTAAATCTGAGATAGACAGCTAACAGCATGAAATCTTTGTATTGGACTTAACTGGGGATCCCCTTCTTTCTAGACTAAGTCCATACCCCCAACCCAAAGCTCAGAGTATCTCACAGATTTTTTCAGTAACTGCTTAACCCCTTGGCATAGACTGCAAATTTTCCCTCCATAATGCTCCAATGCCAGTTTATGCTAAAACAACCATATCACCCATCTATACACCTTTCAGGTGGCAAGTGGTGTTGCTGACAGAAATTAACTAATTTCCATGTCTAACCACTTGCCTTTAATGCTTTGGAAGATGCACTAGGCTCTGGCTGTTTGATTCTTATGTAGCCTTTTTTCCCCCTGAACATTTCCACTGTTCTCTGCATATTAAATCATTTCCTAGCATACCTGTAAAACTGATCTCTGTCTTGGACAGCTCTCCACCCTCCTCCTCCTCCTCCTCCACCTCCTCCTCTGTGAAGACAAAAGCAATAAATAAATGCAAACGTTATTTTATTTGCAAAGGCATAACACAAGAGAAAGGCACATACACAGAGAAACCATTTGCAGGTACAATTCGTCTGATCACACAGGAGAGATAAAATGTCTAAGAGTGCTGCATAAGATAAACAAACTACCCTTTTTCATTACACTTAATTTGTGTAGTGTCACTTGGCTAACGTCACAGCATTCAGGAAAGTGAAAAAGGGCTCATGTTTCAAGTGGCTTAAACTGTATTTTACACTTTTCTATCCTTAAAGCAGCAGCTCAAGACTATTTTAACATAAAGCATACAAAATCCAGTGATTGTCAAGATGTGCAAAACCTTGTACTTGCACATCCAGCTGGGCATGGCTTGTTTTGTTTCCTTCCCCCCCCCGCCAAGTATGACGTGTGCAATCAGCTCATTCCTATGTGGAAACATGAGCAAACAGATTCAATGCATGGGAGAAGCATATTAAAAGCAATGATGAGACTTCTTAAACACAACAGCCAAGCAAGACATTCTCCATAAGGAGGAAGAGTCACTCACAGTGCACAAGATATCCAAAACAGATGTTATAGTTTTAAAGCAGTGGCACTCTGGTTAAGAATCACAGCAACCTGGGGTTCTCAAAGAGCCTTTCAGGGGTGCCACAATGTTAGAAATGCTATGTACGCAAATGATTAACAAATTAAATCCAGAGATTTCAAATAGAACGCTACAGTGTTAAGAAAAAAACCTTTCAACCCGTTGTGGTCTTTCCAAGTTGTTATTTTTCTGTAGTCAGAAAACAAGTGAAAACTAGAAGCTAGCACTTTCCTAAGGGTGCCTCAAGTCTATCAAAGGATACCTTGAGTCTAAAAGGGTCAAGAACTACTTTTCTAGAGCATCCAGAAGCATGTCAGATACCTTGCAATGCAAACAAAGTAGTGCCAAGCCCATGCAACAAAGCTTGCAATCCAAGCTTTAGACAAGAGAAAAAGTGTGTTACAAAAATAAGTTTCACAGTTACTTAGGCATGTCATCTTGGGTGTGAACATTTTTTATTCTGTTGAGACAGGTGGTATGCAATTAAAATAGCTTTGCCCATTCTGTTGTCACCCCTAGCCCATGCAAATCACTAGAGTCTGAGAGATCATTTCTAGCACACATGGTCCTTAACTCTGCCCCCACACAAATGATCCTCATGCCTGACAGAATTAAGCTCAAAGAATGCACAGAAAGTTTGAGCAGGTGCCAAGCGCTCCAAATTGCTACTGGAAGCAGTCAAGGCCCCTGTGAATAATCAGGTACTGATTCACATTATTCAAATGACAGTAAAGTGCCCCAACTCAGGTACTGTGTATTCACAGGGAACTGGGAACACGGCAACCATGATTAAAAGGTAATGCGAGTGCATCCTGAGGTGGTGGTATAGACCAGTTTGGGGAGATTCTCAACCACTTTAAGTTCAAGACTCCTCTTAGAAAATGTCAGCTCTGAGCCCTCACTCATTTTTTGATTACAGAAAAGTAGAGCAATTTTTGTTGCAAAGACTACAACAGGGCAAAATGTTCTTGATACTATAGATTTCTTATTTAAAAAAGATATTGGCTCATCTTGTGAATCGCATATAGATGTTTTCACACCTAAAAGTGCAGCCTGGTTCAGAAACACTGGTGACAACAAAACCATTTCACTGGGACTTGGAGTATGAATGTAATTTGCATAGAGAAAAGAAGGGGTAAATGGATGCTAAAAACCCTTGTAAATACAGCAGGTCTCAAAAACCATCAGTTAGCACTTTTAATATGAAGCAAGAAAAGATTTCACATATTGACAATTTCTATTTGGGAATTCCTTTTCTAAAGGCTGAATGTAGTTTCATTTTACCAAGATCTCTGTGCACAGTACAAGTGTATACAAATACCCTGTTTGTAAGGGAAGGGCTTACAACTTGTTGCAACACTTTGCAGTCTTGTTCAGCTAAGCATTATAGGTCCTATACCACATATTGAGGGAGTAAGCTATAACAGGCAAATCCTATTTGATACTGGATTACAGGTAAGACTTCACTGTTCAGATGAAAGAACAATGCAACACACCAGATGGCACCAACTGATTTTTCAGCTCTACTCCAGAGTTGGGTGCATTAGAGTACAGCATGTAAAAGGGCTTCAAGTTGCTTTTACACAATATCATTACATGCACTAAACCCAATGCAAATTTATTCCCAAATGACAGTAAAGTGCCCCATCTCAGTCCAATTTTTCAGCATCATATTTGGAAGTTTATGTGAGGGGATTCAGTAGACTCAGAAAACTGAGATGCGGAAGTCACTAAACCATGCCTTAACCTCAGCCTCTAGGAAAAGAATACTATACAATAAAACAGAGACTAAAAGTACTCCCCTTATTTGTAAACAAGGAAGGGAAGAGGTAGGATAATAGATGGAGGGCCAATTACCCTTGCTGAACTTATACAAGGTCAGACAGACCTTCTTTAAACTTATTGAGTACGACCACGCTAAAAGCATATCATTCTAGATCATTTAGGGCCAGATCTAAAAAGGTATTTAGATGCCAAGCTCCTATTCAGAAGGTTTCCGATTTAGCCCTAAGGGGAGAGGAGGGAAGGAGGGGGAATGTCGAGTGCAACTCCAGTTATCCTGGAAACAGCAGAACAAAACCTGCTGCCATGCTCTGTTGTGCTGCCTGTAGAGAAGATACGACTCACCCCTCATGTCTGCCACAGAAAGAACTGAATGTGCATCTTACTAGCGAGTTTTCTAAATATGGGCTGCCATTTATTTTCCTGTGTGCAGGCAAGATTGTGCAACTAGCTGTTCTCATTGGTATAAGTAGTGAGCAAGTGAAAATGCTTCTAGTCCTACTGATGCATCATCCTACTGACACATCATGGTTAGGCGCAGCAGCAGGACCAGTCTGCTCTATGGAACTCTCTTGCGGATACTGCTTAGAATCTTGCCCATCTTTCCGACTGCCCTTCACCTGAATTCAAACTCTTGTTAGTCGAAATTCAATGAAGGAAAATCATGGACAGATTTGTGGGCTTCTGAATAGACTTTTTAGATTAAAAAAGGGAAAAAAACCAAACTTACTTTGTTTATTCCACATGAGATTAAGGGGGGAGAGGGAAGGAAAGGAGGAAGAATTAATGGTAAATAATTGCTCCTCTAAGATTTTCCTGAACTAATACTCTTGGATTTAAGATGGAGTTTGTGATAAAATTCCAATGTAAAAAACAGGAGCAAGAGAACTCTGAGCCCTTAAGCTTATTACATAATCAACATAGGCAGAATTAGTAGTGTTCCCTATGAAGGTTGCCCAACACCCCCTAACTAAGACCTACTTTCAGTTGCTTAGAATTTTGCCAGTGGTTTGGACTAGTTTATATGCTAGTTAACTGTTTTAGGCTTACTTTTATTTATTTATTTATTTTTATAATGCAGCTGAAGCAGTTTCAACCTGAGAATAAAATCATGGAAAACAGATTATTCTGTCATGTTAAAAGTGATGATAATCATTTTGTTGGAAAATACTGGTGCCAACACACTCTAGAACAAGACTAAAAACTTTGCCAAGATGTGGCCTTTGTTCCAGGAATATGCCTTTTGCTAGTCCTGTAAAAAAAATTTTAAAAATCTATCCAACAATGGCCAATGAAGCTTTGAAAAGAGGTACAGCTCAAATGTATTAAAAGGAGACTACACTTTAGCTACTAATACTATTTTAAAAGGTTTGGTCTTAAGTGGCCACATTCCAAGCTTTCAAAAATCCTTGTGATGACCCAACTACACATATGCATTCTCCACTGTCTCAGAGGGACTCTCTCAGTTATGACTGTCCTCACCTACAAAGGGCAAACAGCCAAAAAACAGAGTAGAAAGCTCATTTCTTCTGTACCCCCACTATTAAATTCCAAGCAGCATGTATTAAAATCATCTGTTTCAACAGATCAGAGAACAGAACAGATTAGGCCAAGAAGTATGACAGTGTTGGGACTGGACAAAAAAGTAGTTGAGTGAAAGCTGGTGAGGGAAAAAAACAAAACAGGGAGAGAGAGAGAAGCAATGGTCACCATCTTTCAGTACTGGGAATGATTCAGATGGTATCAGTGCATCAAACAGGATTCCAACCCCCACCCCCCAACTTTTTTTTTTTAAAAAAGGAAGCCTAGAGAGTAACACTAACTACATTTAAAAACAATTACTCTAGAGTCCAGCACATGAAAGCCAGAATGAAGGGTATCCAATCTCAATGCAGCCTCCTTCACATAAGCATTAAAACTACAGCAATGTATACAAACAGGCAAGTTAGAAAACATCAATTAGCCTAAGTGCTAGATTGCAACTTTAACCATTTCAGTAGTATAATTATTGTGTAAATATGCCAGAATGAAGAGCTCCTCTATGTATTAACATGTTTTTTGTTTAACCCAGCTTTGTGCAGGCCAATAACCTGAAGATTCATTTAATAAAAACTTTCTACATTTTCATCAAAATGATCAAATGACAAAACTGGCAAAAAGGTCAACTTTTTTAAAATCAAGTTCCAAGTAAATTTTATAGTATCCTTGTAGAGATATGTAATCAAGTAAATGCAGACAATTCTCCCTCCACCTCCCCAACAAATTACCATGGTGTTGAACAGAAAATGCAATTTAATCAAGACAGACAGGATCTTATAGGAACCCAAATGTCCTAAGCAACTGGAAAAACACAGCACCCCAGCCAGATGATTTAAAAAAAAAAAGAGCAGCTGAAAAGAGTGAGATTAAGGTAGGGCAAGTGTATTGGATTTCTTGAAATCTAGGTTTAACTACATTAGATGTCAGGCAAGCTGAACTTAAGTCTGTTCAAAGGGACCTGGATATAAATGGAGTAATAAGGACAACTTGGGATAATGAAGGTTAGATGGTATCTTCAAGGGTTCATTTATTACAAAGTTTCATCCTATTACTATGGTCAGCCACAAAGCTTGATTCTCTGGACAGACTTATCCCCCCCACAACTCAATCGTTGTGTGGAAGCTAAAACGCTACCTGCCATTTTGATCAAAAAATAATTTGATCCCCAAATCAAACACCATTCATATTAGCCAAACTATCTTTGAGTCATGCTGGGATAGGCCTTCATATTTAAACCCTCTGCAAAAAGAAAAAAAAAATCATGATGCTTCATCCACATTGTTTCTCCACTAATTGTCTTCTGTTCTTTTATCTTTACCACTGTATTTAAAATTCCTTGACTATACTTATGTTAGTGTTGTAGGTACAATTCAGTAATAAGCACTGCATTTAATTATTTCAATTCCTCCCATTTAAAACTTTGCATTCCTACAGCTAATTGTGCTGGTGGATTCTGGAGCAGCTGTTGTCTGGAACAGATTTTACAGCAAGAAAATCCAACTCTGGATGCCCAGGAGTTAACAAATAGATGCACTGTCTTGGAATATAGGTTAACCTTGTTGTTTTCTGTACCAGCCTGACACTGTCCTTTTATGGGACGCGTCAGACTAAATACCGTGCATAAATGAGCAACTGCTGCTTGGTGTTAAAAGAAAAGGCTCGTTACTTTTTGATGCTGCTTACACTCACATAAAAAAAAGTCTTCCACTGTCATACTCTTACTACCGGTAATAACAGTGGCAACAGTTTGAACTCTTTTGTTACAAGTCACCTTAAAACACAGTGGTAAAAACCTAAGTGATGGCCTCTCTGATACAATTTGAACATTGCTACCTCTGGTGGAGGTACAGCTGTGGGAGAATTTTTTCAAACATATAACTGCATCAAAGATGTCTTACTCTTAACTCAAGATAAATCACCAATATTAAAGTACATGATATACATATTTGTACGCTTAGTTACAAATTTAACAGGATAGCATCCTGGCCTAATCTTAGGATGAACTGAAAGATCTCCTTGAACAAGAGTCCATTCCAGTTTGACCAACAACAGTTTCTCTCATGTGCAGTCAGAGTCAACACAAAGATGTGTAGTAAGAACCAGAGATTTCAAAACCAGAATTTGAATATAAAATTAAGTGATTTTACAAGAATTCCAAGGCACAAAGCATAGTTAGAAGAAACACAGGTAAGTTATTTTTATAAACAGTTTTTAGAAAGCTATATTGCAAGACGATTTGAAGGCTTTTTTCCTCTTTTTGGAAGTACTAGTTAATACCGACTCACCTATATGACCTGCTGTAATAATCCCGATCATCGTACCCTCTGTCATATCCCCTGTCATAGTAATCTCTCCTTCTGGAGCTGCCGCTATAACAGTAAAACAGTCACAGTCGCATTTAATACACTACAAAAGAGTACATTCAGTTAACACAGCTGTAGAAGTTTTCAAATAACATCATGAAATACATGTAACAACTGCAAACCCAACCCGACTATTCTTTGCATTTAATCATCCAAAATGGGTTCTGGGAATAATTTCTCCCCAAGCCAACTTTTTCTTTTCTTCTACCTTGAAGATGTTCCCTTTGGAACGATATATCCTTGTTAGGCCAAAGATGACTTCAAGCATAACATTTCAGTTACACAGGCATTATTTTAAAAAGCCCAATTAAAAAAAAAAAACGCCATCAGCTGAAGGAACAAGTCTTTTCAGTTTGTTAAGAAATAAGCATTTGGGTTTAAAGCCTAATGTCCACATTTTAACTATCCTATTAAGCAGAGCTGTACAACTAAAGCTTGTTATTATAACCTCCTGTGTTTTCCAGGGAAAGTGACACTTGCACAACTGTAAGAAGCACACTCCCAAAACGGAACTAAATTAAGGACTGACTAATTTGGAGATCAGAAAGGTGAATCTGGAAAATGCTTCAACTGTTCCCTGATATTTTGCTTTCCAATTAACTCTTATTTCCATTCCTGGCTATGGAGATAGTGATATATATGATTTAACTTACAATAAAACATTAAAATATATTGTAGAAACAAATGCTTCTTTAAAGTAGCTGCACGGATTAGCACACAAACGCCTAAACTTTATAGCCATATGCCAGGTGTTGTACAAGTAGCATTCAAAAAGGGACCCTGATCAGGGATCCTGGTTCTCTCTGACAAACCCCCCCAAATCCCTTATTAAAATTAAAAGCCCCCTGCAGCTGTGCTGGTGCCCCTCATTTGCCCCCCAACAACTCCCCCCCCTGCTGGTGCCCCTCACTCACCCCTAAAGCCATCCCAACCCTGCTGGTGCCCTTCATTGCCCCAACCGCCCCCCAGCCCTGCGGAGAGGGCCCCCAGCTGCCAGGGCTGTGGGCTCAGGGCCCTAAGTCTCCAGCTCCCTACCCCTAGCAGCAAGCAGCTGCAGCAGAAGCAGCATGGAGCCAGCTCCTCCACTGCTCTGCCTGCTTGGATGGGGCTCGCGAGGCTGGCTCCTGGGCCCCCCAGTCCTGCCAGTGCCCCCAGCCATGACCTGCAATCCCCCAGCCCTGCCAGAGGGGTCCCCAGCCCCCTGCAAGCCCCACTTACCTCAGGCTCTGGGAACAAAGAATGAAGCTGAGCTGAGAACAGCTGTGGCTGATTAAGAGCCTCAGGCCCTGCCCGGGGTTCCCCGCCCTGTTTGCAAACAGCTCTCCTAGGCTGGAGCTCAACCAGCCTCCAGAGCTGTTTGCAAGAGCAGGGAATCTGTGGGTTTCTCTGCTAAAAGGAGAAATCCGTGTTCTCGCTGATAAAAAAAGGGGGAAATCTGTGGTTTTCTGTTTTTCCATTAGAAACGGAAAACCAGGCTCCCTGCTGATGATTAAAAAAGAAATCAAAATGCAGAGCATGACAAAGTAGGAACATACAGAAGCAGAAATACTTTGTGCTCTTGTAGACAAACAAAATAGAAGAGGCTACACACACTGGGTTTTTTGGGGCAAGGGGAGGGAAGTGGGGTGGGTACTGGTGCCACCTGATTTCGGGGATAACTTACTAAGTAGGTCTCCCCATGTAGATTCCAGGCGTAGGAGTATGAGGTCTTTTTGTTATGGAGAAATCTACTCGGATCCTTCTCCCATCCAGTTCCATTCCGTTGGCACGCTCTTTAGCCTATACAGAACAACATTGTCTGAATTGCTGTTCTAACTTCAGACTGGTAATAACCTTATGCAACCCATCACAAGTTCTAGATACTCCAATTTAAAAAGTGTCCAAGAGACAGAAGAATGTAAGTGTGTGCGCTCATAGGCGGCTTACAGACATTAAAAAAAAGGTGCTTTACTTTAAAAGTGCATTTTGCACCAAGCTCAGCGCATGCCCAGAAGACAGCGCATTAGCTGGACCCAGCTCACCCAAGCTCTGCACAGATCAGGTGCCCCAAAGGCGGCTTCCTTGCTGCCTCTACCCAACAGCTGGTTGAGTCAGCTTTAGATAAAAGGGCCAAAAAGACCTGCCAAAGCGCCTGATCCAAACAGATGCTGCAGAACTGGGTCAAAGTAACCTGCTGCTTCTTCTGGTAAAGCAAAGGGTTTTTTTTATTTATTTTTTAACATCTGCAAGCAGCATTAATGTTTTAATTTCAGCAAATCTGCTTATACATCCATTTAAGTGGACCTTATAGGTATGGAATACTTGTATGCACGTTTGAAACAAAGCTCCTATGCTGTGCTGAGAGATCTGCAAATATGATTCAGTAAGTGCTCAAGAGTACTTGTAGCTCTTTTACAACGAATTGAGAAGAGCTTGGCAAAAAATGTAAAGTGTATGAGAACTATTTCTTCTCTAGCTGCAGATAAACAGTTTCTACTTTATAGCATTAAGTAGCTAATTTGATATACAAGGCAAAAAGTCTACTGATTTACTACTGACCCTTGAAAAATTGTGCGTGTCCATTAAACCTAGTATGATTTTGGCTTTGGACACATTTAGCTATCATTCCAATATGAAAACTAAAACTTTTTAAATCTTGTTTTAAAACTACCGAATACTTTCCAAGATGGGAAGACCACCCCGCTAAAGAAGGAATAACTTAAAAAGGCAAGTTGTTTAACTCTTCCAAGTCAAATTGTGAGAGCTAGAATTTGCGTAGTTTTAAGTTCTGTTATATATTGAAATATTTTCCATTCAACCATCTGCTTTAGAGGCTAGTACGCAATATTTAATACATATATAGCACCTTTCATCCCATGCAATTCCAAAGCAATTTCCAAATTATGCTCAGCAGCATTAATCAAGTGCTGTTCTTATCTGACTGGTAATAACTTCCATGACTATACCAGGGGAAACAAACAAGCAGTGTGGAACTATTTCAGACAGAGGTAAAAGTGAGTTAGCCATGATGGAATTTTATCTTGTGGTATTTGAAACCCAATGCTTAGATCACTAGACCATCCAAATTCAACCTGGAAAGAAATGGTCCTCAAACCTCCTGGCCAAACTGGTTTAAAACAAATGCAACCATAATTTCTTCACTTTTCCTGCAGAACTTGCTATGCCTGTTACTGCTCAGGCACTCAATATTTATTTTGCATTTTGACTGTTTCACATCTTTCCTTGTATTTCTCTTCTACACTGGCCTCAAGCACAGGAGAAAGAACCATAGTTTTGCAGAGCACTGTACAAGAACATTTCAGCAGCTGAGAATGGCAAATGTTCCAAATCATACATATTCCAACTTACTTCCTTCGCATCTTCAACATTTTCAAAATATACGAACGCAAATCCTCTTGAACGCCTAGACTGCTGGTCGTACACAATGGAAACATCTGCAATTGGGCCATACTTGGAGAACACTTCTCTGAGATCCCTTTCAGTCGTATACAGGCTCAGTCCAAACACACCAAGACAGCAGTTTGGGTCAGGATTTGCCTATTAGAAAGAATCAAAATACTGGAGTTTAAAAACTTTTACTTTTTGCTAAACCCAATACAAACATAAACTGCTTTCAGAAGATTTCAAGGCAGATCCTTAAGTTAGCTTTCCGGCTACAAGTACAACAAGCCCGTATGTTTAAGTCAGCTTTTTATAACGAGGTACTAGCCAATTGCCTGTCAAGAGTAGACCCTCCCCCCCATTCCCTCGTGGGGTCCGGCAAGGGGAGAGAAGCAGGTGCAGGCCTGATGTGGGGGTGTGGGGAGGAGCGGGCCCACTGTGGCAATGGAGGGGGATGGGGAGCAGCAGGCCCAGGCTGATGCAGCAGCAGCAAGCAGACAGGAGGAGTGGGCTTGGGACTGATGCTGGGGCTGGATGGAGAAGTAGGAGTAGGCCTGGGACCAAGGTGGGGGTGGGGGGGGAAGAAGAGCTGCCCTCACCCCCCACCACAGTATCCCGACCCCACTCCCCCTCACACTGCCACCCCTACCTCCAAGGAGCATGGGGGGGAGGGGGGGGGCGCAAGGCCAGCTCTGGTGGCCTCGCCCCCACACCTCTGCTTCCCATTACCACTGCCTGCAGGGAGCGGCGGCGGCGGGGGAATATTATAATGACATTACAAGTTTATTTTCAGAAGTGAGTAGTGTCTGAAAATGCCCAATCTTCTACTTTTAAGTGGCATACTGACTGGTTAATATGGATATATACCAGGGGTGGGCAGAATATGGCCCGCGGGCTGGATCCGGCCTGTGAGACCATTCTATCTGCCCGCAGGGCCCCTAAAGAATTCAGAAAATTAATATTTCTCTGCTCTTGGTTCCTGTCAAAAATGACAGGAACCAAGGGCAGTAGGACCCAGGCGAAGCCTGGCAGGCTCCCGCAACCCCCGGGGAAACCCATCAGAGGCTTCTGGCCTGGGGCCACATGGCTTAAATAAATTTATGGTTGGAAGATTCAAAGATAAAGGCTACTAGTTTATTACTTACCCAGTGTTCCAGTAGTCAAAAACCAAGAACTTGGAACATGTACAAAGATTATTAAGAACTAGCTACAAGCACAGCAGCTTCCTTGACTATCTCAATTTTTGCTGTTATTCAACGGAATTTACTTTTACAAACCAGAAAAATGGAAGCGGATTTGAAGGGAAAGGAAAGGGAATGTTATAACCAACTGCTTCCAAGGCAGTCGTACCCGGTTTCCAATATGACGCCTGCGAGTAGACATAGGGGAATGGCTATGACTGTGTCGTCGTCGATAATCCCGACTGTAAGACCTACTTCGGGACCTCCGGTGAGAGCGAGAGCGGGAACGGGATCTTGTATAGTGTCTACGAGAACTCCTCCTTGACCTAGACCTGTGGGGAGAAAGAACTAAGTTACTTCTAAAGAGTTTTAAAAGTTGTCAATGCATAATATGCTGAACTGCAATACCCATGCTTCTTGTTTAAAATAGTTCATAACAGTCATGCTATACCACACCTTATAGGATCCAAGTACTCAATTCAGCTCCAGTTCTTAGGATTAAGTCAGCTCAGAAAGAATTACAACTTTCATTCTAAACCCAAGCATTTTCTAACAGTTAATACTTTTCTTAAGTTTATTTTGATTTGAAGTAGTTTATACTTAGTTTAGTCCCAAAAGATAAAGAAATATTCCTGTCAGGAGACTGAAAATGGCACTTTTGGCAAAGATATTACTGAAAAGAGGAAGGGACTTGAGACTTGACAGAATGCAACTATCTCTGCTTATGAATACAACTACAAGCATACAAAGACTCATATCATGGGAGAATGAAGAAATATCTATCTATAGGACAACATGATACTCAGTGAGACTGTAAAAGCTCAGTTCAAATAAAATGAATGAAGGAAACTACCTGAAGGCCCAGAGGCTAGCAGTTAAGGAAGATTAAAGAAACAGACTTTTAGACTGGCATAGAGACCCCTGTGGTTTTTCTCCTTATTAAGAAGTGACCCACCATTAACTGGAGCTGCACATATTGTCTTTGTACATTCATACTTGTGGTATGTACCATGAGCTGTGACTTATCCTCTGGAACCTTTCTATAAAGTCTCTGGGAAAACAATACCATGGCCCTCTCTCCAGCACTGAAATTTGAAAGGCAAGGTCCCATGAGTCCAACTGCTTCAATTCTATTAAACCAAAGAATTCTATGATCTCAAAAACTCTGGGTTAGAAGGAATTGGGGAGACGGTGCAAGCTAAATATGACTGAATTTCAACTAACACACACCAAACTAAGCAGCTCAACTAATATAGCTTGTCTTTTTCAATGCTGTCAATACAATGACTAACTTTTTCTTAGTTTACTGAAGTCTTCAGTCATATTTAGCAAGGCAAGTTAGGAAAAGGCCTTGAAGAATACATGTTTTTAATCACACCCTTTGGAGATGTTTCTGCACATTCCCACTTGTGCTTCAAATGGTCTCCAAAAGCAGAGGAAAGAACAGGGTAGTTATGAAGGCAAACACCCTCCAGAGTAACCTACTAAATCTATGCTACAGTAGACCTCATTCAAGAGAGATTCTACTACTTTTCTGTTTTGAGATGCAAAGAAGGAAACAGTAAAAGAAAGGCAGAGGGAAGGAATGCTTAACTTTATCATGACAACATTTCAAGCAACATTTAACATGGTATGGCAAATCTAGTTCTCTCCCCCTCTCACTGCAAACAAGGAAAACTTTTCATTTGAAGAGTGATCTAAGGATCTTCCCTTGAATTTCAGCAAACAAAAAAGAATCTGATCCAACTTTAGCAGACAGCAATGACAGATATCACAGCTCTAAACATATCTGATGCGTTTAAGTAAAGCACAGAGGATGGTATCCTTGGAAATGAGGTGTTCCTGAACAAGTGCCTTTTGCTACATTTTATACTTTGGCAAGCTAGGACAAGAAGAGAGATTATCCCAATCTGGAACTCACTGAATATTAGCCACGATAACCAAATATTTGGTGAGTTTGAGGAAGTAGCCTGGTTTCCCTCCATGCTTTTTCTGAGAATGCTTCCATGCTTTACTTAGTAACACCAGATATGCAGAAATCCTAGAGGCCTTAAGTGCTCTGGTATAAAAAAAAAATATTCACATTCTTACTGTGGAACTTACTACAAAAAATCTGGATTCTTGGTGACAAGTGAAGGTTGCTCAGTTCAGTTAAATATGAAGCAAGGTATATAAAGCTGTTATTGGCAGGCCAAGTCATGTCAGTGAAATGTCAAAGTGACTTGTCTCCTGGACTGTGATGGCAAGCTCTGAAAACTTTAATACCTGCACTGACAAATCCCAAAACTTCTTGGGTATTAGGCAGTGACCAAGACATGGAGATCACAATAAAAACAGAAGACAGAGCTGTGTTATAATTAATGGCAGGGACACTAGTGCATGCGTTGTCCTAATCAGAATCTGATAAGCCATCACAGACACTGCTTAGAGGAAGAGACTACCTTTGTGTATATGTTGGGGGTTTGGATACGTTTTTGAATATTAAACTGCTACTTTATGGGTTGGATTCATTAATAAAGTTAAAAAAAGAAAGAACAAAAATTGGGAGTCTTACTCTCCAACCCATATGTTTCTCCAGCATACCTGAGAAACCCTTAAGGAAACAGCTCCAGCTGCAGCCTGAGTAACACCCTCTTACAGAAGCCAAACTCCCCTGATCTTGGAGAATGCTCCACCCCTATACTATGCAATCCTTATGCTAAGGCAGACCCCCTTGAAAAGGCCATGAGTCTGGAGACTGGCAAACAGGTATAAACAAGTCTTCCCTGCCCCCATCTCTTAGGGAGCCACGGTCACCATGTTGAAGCAAAAAGAGTATCAACATCAAGAGGAGTTGAAGAACCTGGTCCTTGCTAGACCTGGTATTGGCAGTGGGGGATGACATGGTAGGAGACCTACAGATCAGTGATCACCTGGGGGACAGTGATCACCAAATAATAGAATTCATCATAAGACCTTGAGTGGGTAAGGTAACTAGTAGGGTGGAAGTGCTAGACTTTAGGAAAGCTGATTTCAATGAACTCAGGCATTTAGTCAAAGATGCACTGCAGAGTAAGAGTTTTGAAGAGATGGGAGCCCAGGAAGGGTGACTGTGCCTTAAGGAAATGATCCTTCAGGCACAGAGGGAGACAATCCCAATACAGGGAAAAAGGGGGAAAGGGGCCAAGAGGCTTCCTTGGCTGACCAGAGAAACCCAGAGCAGCCTACGGGCAAAAAGGGGGGCATATAAAAAGTGGAAACAGGGAGAGACTACTGAAGAGGAGTATACCTTCTCTGCTTGCGCTTGTAGGGAGGCAGTTAGCTTTGGCCGGTCTACCATGGAGCTGAGGATGGCATCCCAAGTTAAGGATAACAAAAAATTGTTTTTTAGATATATAGGGAGTAAAAGGAAGGCCCAGGGTGGAATAGGACCCCTACTAGATGGGCATAAGCAATTGGTGACAGACAGGGGGGACAAGGCTGAACTCCTCAATGAGTTCTTTGCCTCTGTGTTCCTAAATGAGGGGCAAGACAAGTCTTTCACTGGGATTGTAGAGAGGCAGCAGCAGGGCACCAGACTACCAAGCGTAGACCCTGAGATGGCGCAGAGGCACTTGAAGGAACTGGATGCGCTTAAGTCGGCAGGCCTGGATGAGCTCCATCCGAGGGTACTGAAGGCACTGGCTGACGTCATTCCCGCAGGTGGCTGTGCAGTATCTGAACACTCATGGTGCACAGGCCAGGTCCCGGAGGACCAATTGGAGAAGGGCCAATGTGATCCCCATTCTCAAGAAGGGGAGGAAGGAGGACCCAGGCAACTATAGGCCAGTCAGTCTTACCTCCATCCTTGGCAAAGTCTTTGAAAAAATTATCAAGGCTCACATTTGCGAGAGCCCGGCAGGAAAAATTATGCTGAGGGGAAACCAGCAC